CAAAAATGTTTTGATTGAAAGTCCAGATTTGTGAATTTTCTCAGCTTGGAAATGTAATCTTCCATTTTGATAAGGTGGATTGTAAAGGAAATATAAACAAGCACGAAGAAGATCGTAGGTAGCGCAAGAATCTGTGGGCTCACTAGCGCCCTCTGCCTTGAGGCAGGCGTACTGTTTGCCTCACCGAGTAACTTTTTTACTGTGTTTTATGGTTAATCTGGAGCCTAAACACGTTACAGAACTACATTTTATACATTATCCAGATTATGGCAAGGCAGAGCATATAATCAGAGTGTTTGAAAGCATTTTATTTGTGATATATAGAGGGACAGTGACACACTATTTGCATCGCATACAGTTTGTGAGGATTACACGATCCACCGAGAGGCACAGCAAAGTGCTGCCTCATCGCGCATCTCCTCCATGTATTTGAACGGGACCTACGGAAATTCTGCTATTTTTTATTGAAAAAAATTCCTTCAACATCGGATTCGAACAGCAAAAGGGCCTACAACACACACCAGCCGACAAATATTAACATTTATTATATTTTATGGTTAACTTTTTTTTTCTTTTCAAGATTGACAGGGGGGGCTCTGCCTCACCTGCCTCCCCTGACCGCACGTCACTGAATATGTGTGTGTATCCTTGTATTTCAGTTGTTATGAGAATATCTGGTCCTCATGAGCTCATAAGAAGACTGTTCATTCCTCATATCTGCAGTGGTTGGCTTAAATGTTAAAAGCTAGTTTAGTGCTAAGGTTAGAAGAATGGGATGGTTTAGGGTTAGTGGATTGGTGCTGCGCTGTGTGGGTTGCCTTTAAGTTGAAATAAAAAACTCACCAAATTACAAAAAAAAAAGTTTTGACATATTTATCTGAGATTTCTGCAGCCATTTGAATAAAATAGAAGTGTATGAAAATGTATCTTGTGGTGCCTGCAGCATTTAAAAATGACATTTACATTTCAGTGTCTTCTCTTTTCAGACAGTGTCCCAGTTTCCAGATTATCATATGCTATGCTGTGAACACATTTCACTGCCTTCTACTAATGAAATATGGACAGGTTTTGTCAATTATCAGATCATGCTGCAGTTTCTGAAATCCCATTACCAGTGGCAGAGTTGGACTGGACTGCTGACAGCTTTTGTAACTTTTCAAAACAGACAGTCTGACAGTGGCACCATGGTGTAGTGATGGGCCATCACTACACCATGGTGCCACCAAGCTCTAATTTTAATTTTTTATATGCCACCACTATATGTGTGTAACCCAGTGGAACACCATAAATGAATACTCGCTCCATAGTATTACTGTGAGCTGCATTGAAAGTAAAAAAAGATGTGGGAAAGATGCAGAATTCTCAGAGAGTGGATGATGCCTGGACTAGGATGAGACAGCAAGTCTAGGGTGTGGTTAGGCTGTTCGAGATAGTTTCTCAACTGTGCTGTTGAGCTTTACTACTGTGAATGAACATATGAAATAAAATCAGCTGCATGGTTAGATGGTTAGTAGTAGTAGTGTAAGAAAAATGCCTTTATTTGTTATTTGGATTAACCAACCAATTAATCTTGATAACTATCCACAGGCTTTTGTAAAAGAACAGGTGAAACATTTAATTAGTTTGTTGGCTCTGTTAACTCCCACTGATCATGGAGGTGCAGCAGATCACCTGATGAGAGCAATCCAACATAATTAAAAGTTATTTTTCCACTGAAACACTCAGTGAAAAAGAGAGTAATTTATTTGAGGCTGTCAATTATTAGGTGGCATGGTTCCTGTCGAATGTGAGTGTACTTAAAACATTTCTTTCAAAATGATATTATGATATGAATACGCTATAAGGTAAAGTCCAAGGGCTGACAGTTCCTCATAAGTATACAGAACCAAAGTTGGGGATGTGAGTAGAAATTCCTCCTTTCTCTCTGTGCATCAGTCTCATCTTCAGCACTGGTGGAAAATAACCAAGTACATTTACTCAAGTACTGCACTTAAGTACAATTTTGAGGTTTCTGTATTTTACTTGAGTATTTCCTTTTTCTGCTACTTTGTACTTTGATTTCACTACATTTACTAAATGTACTCACTAGTTACATTTCAAAATCCGATAAGTGAAATAGAACATAGTATAAGACCTATAGCTCTACCTTTACCAGCCTCAACATTAAATGTGATAGACACAATAATGTATCCATAATTATAATCCAATAATATCATGTACAATAATGTGAAATGTGCCATTTTGCATTAAAAGTATTTTTACCTTTGGTACTTTAGGTATGTTTTGATGCTAATACTTTTGTAATTTTACTTAAAAATATTTTGAATGCAGGGATCTTACTTGTAACTGAGTACTTTTACACTTTTACTTCCACCGCTGACCTGCAGCATTGAAAAATGTCACTTGCCCTGTGTTGTTTGTGGCCTGTAATGCCACTCTTTAGCCACACACCTGACATGTTCATTTGTTATAAACCAACTCATTTACAACACTGTGCTACTGGTTTGTCCTTGCCCTGACATTCAGTTCTCGACAAATTGGCATTACAAGCATTGCCAGCACCAATTAACTTTAAAACTCAGTCCCAGTTTTTTACTGCTTCTTAACTGACTTGACAAGAGTGCAGCAATAAGCTCTTTCTGAGCTTTCTGACTAGTGATACACAGCTGGATGATCACTCAGAGTGAGGGCGGGACAGGGAACACGTCCCTGTGCAACCCCCATGGCCAAAAGACATTAAAATGTTTGGTTTGTTTTTGTTGGCAAATACACACACACAGAGAGAGAGAGAGAGAGAGACGCATACACTAATTACAGCTATGTCTTTGTTGACTTTAATGATCTGTATAACTCATTTCTGTTTTACATTACATTTTGATGACCATGTTCAATTTTATAGTACATGTTATGAAAGTGATAAAATGAATTTTTCAGTACATACAGAATGTGTGGACTGTTTGGTGTGGCTTCTTTGAAAAATGTTCATGTTTTCAATATTACTCTGACAAAATTGTTTCTGATAAACAACCAATTCAATAAGGAAACGAATTGCTGCTTCCAGCTGATGTGTTGGTTTTTCTTTCACTCGACAGGCTGCCAGGAGCCCAGCTGCTCTCTCGAATCCTTCTGATCCAGTGACTGATTCCTCAATCCATCATTCAAGGAGTGGGAGCTGACATGGGAGCCATGGGTGGGACGAAGGTCTTGCTCCTGGTGTTTCTGTTTGGATGGGAGAAGTCGCTGGGTCTCAACTGGAACCCAGTCCCACGCAAAACTGTTCGATACCAGGGTGAGTGAGCAATGTAGCTGATGGTGTTGCAGTTGGAGCCAGTGAAACTTTCCAATAAGAGCTAGACTTGAAGAATTCATTTTCAATTTCTAATCCTGTGTTCATGAATGAATTGTTCCTTATCTCTTGTAACATGTTAAATATGTGTCAACAATACTTTTGACCAAATACTTTCGGAGTTTTCTATGTATCTATTGATTGATTATATGATTGGCAGAGTTAATCTGTCATCCAAATTGCATTTACTTTGATTCTTTTATGTAAACAATGCCTGAGTTTAAGATAAACTCATCAAAAATATATTTGTTTCACAAGAAGAGGATATAGGGATTTTGCTGTTAAAAAAATCAACCAAAAATAATTTTTGGGCATGTCTGTACATTTGGTATATAACAGGAGATAAGTGAACGAGCTGGTTGATGAACTACTGTGGCTGCTGAGCTAACTGCTAGCATGCTAACCAGTCCTTAGCGTGTTGGCAAGATTCTCTCTGTGTTCTCCGTATGGGGTCGATGTTTGCTGTTAGTTACACATTTGTTTGCTTGGTCGCTAAGAGGACAGTAAGTTCACACAGTTAATTCAAAAGACATTTGTGTATGAGATATGATAGATTTCTCCAGGTTGTACTCTCGAGCTCTCCATTCCTTCATTGGTCAGCATTATTAGTATGTCTTCACTACTGGTCAGATTTGTCAGTTTGCATGTCAAAGTTCACCAAAGCTGAACTCTGTAAACATTTTCTTATAAATATTTGAATGAGCAGGTTTAATAGGCTGACAGCTGTTGGTCCAACCAACCAACTTGCCAATGATTTATTTTTAATTTTAACAGTAATCATAAAGATGCATTCTATAGCCAAACAACACAGGATTTTCCATGATCTCAGAGGAGGATGATTTCTGACTTTTGGTACAGTTAGAGACCTGCATCGACCCTCAGTAAAACAATGCTAATCTAGTGCTCTGCTGTATGTGCGCTCTTTATCTTGGCCCTCCTCAGCAACCAGGCCTGGCTTTTTTCACTGAACAATGCCAATTGTTGCAAGATGAGAAACAATCTTTTTTAATCCCTCAAAGGAGAAGTACTGTTTTTTTTTTCTCTTGAGGATTATGGAAATTCTATAAAGACAGGGAAAAAATATTGGGGGAAAGTGATATTTTCTCCCCTCTCTGTACCACCTAGCCCATCTTTCATCCCATATCCATCTCTTCTTTCCCTGCTGTTCCTCCTCTTTTTTTCTTGCCTTTTATCCCTCCCCTTGCCTTTTTTGCCTTGAATGCTCCAGCTCATCGTATGAACCTGAAATGCTCTTATGGCGTTTTCACAAAGAGCTCAGATTTCAGGCACTCTTGAGCAGAATGGCGCATGGTGGTGGCAGCAGTGGTGGCGGGGTGTGGGGATATTTCAAAGCTGCTTTCTCATGCTGCTATCATGAATCCCCCCCTCCCCATTTCCTTTTTTTCCTAGAGTCTGCATCCTTCATCTCATCCCTTCATGATGCAGGCGTTGTAGTGGGATTTAGGGACAGAGAATAGGGGTCAAAACAATCAATAGGGCATCAATAGTTTCTGGTGAAATGCTCCAGTGTGACAAAGCAAAGTCAGTGTGTTGGCAGAGATGGCCCAGATCTCTGCTGCACCCTGGCCAGCATACACTTGTGGTAAGGACACACCAGAGAGGGCAAACAGGGACAGCTGCACATATATGGTTTTACAATATATGAAAGGAGCAAAAACTATCCACTAACCAACACTATCTTGGTTTTCCTAATTTTTCCCAATAAAACAAACAAATCAATTTGCCTGTAGAGACAATAATACTCACCTTTCTTCTAAATAAACATTTGTTATGAAAAACGGGAGAAGACAGATCAAGTCACTTGCATCATATGTGAATCTGGTGTAAAGATTCTTGTAGTAAATTGATTTGCATTGGGAACAAGTGGGATTGTCTTAGCTGTTGATTGATCTCCCCACTTGGTTAAAGAAAAATGCTTTTTTGTCAGGCTCAGTCCTGGGTTAAATGACTTATATGGATGGGTTCTTGCTACAGTGCTGAGGAGGAGATAGGAGAAAGATGAAATGGAAAAACAAAACTGCAGAAAGAGGGAGGGATGGATTGGAGGGGAGAAGCGAAATGAAAAGCGAGAGGAGATATATAATGGAAAGAAAGCAAGAATGAGCGACATTAGCAGAAACTTGGAGAGAGGAGCCAGTCACTGACTGCCTTAAAAGGACAGAAAGCTTCAGATGAACGATAGAGGGAAGGAAAACACACACACACACACACACACACACACTGCGGGCATTTCACCCTGTTTCATTTAACATGGAAGTATCTCCCTTCACAAATACAGACACAGCATCCATACTAATGTGTGTAGGTGTGTGTGTGTGTGTGTGTGTGTGTGTGTATGTGTGCAGTGTGCATTTTTCAAGACAGCAAGACAGAGACAAGAAGATAGGCAATGAAAAACAAGAGTGAGAGAAAATGTGGGGCCACGGAGGGCACATGTTTATACCTGCCTGCATAGCACAAGAGAGAGAGTGTGTGTGTGTGTGTTCGTGTGTGTAGTTCTTAGTCTGTCTATATAATCCCCCCTTGTTTATATGTGTTTGGGAGTAGTGTGTGTACTCCTGTACTGCTTAGGTTGGCAGTCTGAGGGATTTGGCGCTCTGGGGCAGTACAGGAGGGACGTGTGTGAGAGATGGGTTGGTTGCGGTGGGCCAGAGATGGGTGAAGAGAAAATATTTACGCCCCTTCCTCCCACTCACCAACACCATCACCCCCACCCAGCAATTATATCAAACATACATAAGGCTGCAGAAGAAGAAACACAAGCATTCTCTCTCTGTGCATCTTTCTTTCTGTCACCATCTAGCCACTTCTTCTTTTACTTTTTATGTCACATGTTGACATTTAAAATTTTAGGTTGTTTTTATTCCTCACAAGCCACTCGTCACATTTATGAAGGGAAAGAAACAACTGTTGGTTCCTAATGAGGCATTTTATGTATACACACTGTGTTTTTTCTTCTTAGGGTGGATAATGAGTGTTGTAAATGTACATACTTGTCACTTTTCTCTCATAGTCTTTCATTCTAATCACTGGCACTGAGCATAAATCTTGATTTCATTTTACTTTAAGTGGATAATATTTCATATTTATGTTCATATTGTACAAGTTTCTTATTCATTGTTTTTTGCAAAAGGTCTTCTTATTCATTAATTTTTAATTAATGTTAAAGGATAAGGCTGATGTTATTCTATCATTTTCATGCTGCCCTGACATACCAAAATTAACAATATGTTATTCCACCTGTGTGTACTTTCTGACTTATACCTCCTCTGGGGTGTTCAGCCCCACACTAATTGGCTCCTTCCATAGATTGTGTATTAAAGCTACAGTAAGCAATAATTCAAAATCTAACTCAGGCTATCATGACACTCTAGAATCAAACTTCTGCTCCGCCCAGCCCTTGCTCCACTGTGCTCCATGCTCCACCCTACCCTTTGTGAACACAAAACCATCACACAGTGTCACAATTTGAAGAAGTTACTGGACAGTATTCAACTGGTGGGCACTAAAATAATGTACCTCACAGAGCCAACTGCCCTGATTTACGTCTACTGTAAACACAGCACAGAACAACTGCCACTACACCACAGGCAGACACAACACATTTACAGCCAGCGCATTGGCAGAGAAGCAAGGAGTGCGTTGAAAAGGTTGCCCCCCCCCAAAAAAAGAAACACTTCCCCACTCTATCACATATAGGATACACGCTGTTCGAAAACATGTCTGAAATTGAATAAAACATGCTGTCAAGTGTAGCTACATCACTGCAGTAACTGAAGACAGTGGCCCACAGCAGAGTAATATGACTGCAGCTCTAGCAGCCACAAGAATCCCTGGGAAAAATCACAACGTTAGTGGAGACTACAATACATTCAGCTGGTGGGCATGAAAATAATGTATCTCACTGAGCCGACTGCCCTGCTTTGTGTCTACTGTAAAACAGCACAAATGTATAGCAGCTTCCACTACACAGCACATTTACAGCCAGTGCAGCTTTTGAACATCAAGAGAGAAGTGGGTTCTGCACATCCACAGAAAGGTTTCGTGCAGTCGCATTTTGCACAGTTGAGTCACAAAAACACTTAGCCATTCAAGATTTTCTATTACATATAGAACACATGACGTTTGAAAACACATCTGAAATTGAATAAAGCTACACCTGAAGAGAGAGAAGCACGGCTATTAACACATAACCATCACCACAGCTGCAGCAGGCTCCAAACCGGGGTGACAGGTAGAAGTGATAAAGTTAGTGGATGTTCAACAGGTGGGCGTCAAAATAATGTAATTTGCAAACACAAATTGATTTGACAGCTGCGGCAGACCAATCAGTGGCTTGCATGTGAACTTGCCTGGATTTAAGTGGCTGATAATTAGAAATGAAAGTAGCAACACAGTGACATTAGCCAACTGCTCTTACAGTCACACTGGGAGTGCAAATGATATGTTCTGGCATGATTTAGCTACAAGTACAAAGGCCAGTCCTTATCATACTGCTATAAATAATAGATTCACAACATAGTAATCAAGCGGAAAAAAACCTCCATCTGCTGAAAGCTGTGTTGATATAACGTTATGATCTGAATTCAACTGTGTTGTTTTCTTTTCTTCCTTCTCTTCAAAACTCTCATTTCTTTACCTTGTTTTTCATGTAGCCGTCTCAGCTAACATTGAAATTAGTAGCTTGCTAGCCTGCGACCATGATTGACAGCCTTGAGCCCCCACTTCTGATGTTGGCCTTCTCTGATTGGTTAAGAGCTGTATCTTTGTCAGAAACTTTTAAAAGGAACTATCTCTGCACTGCTGCCAGGCTGTCTGATGGGTCTGGGGTCACAAAAGCCTTCGACAGCAACTCTCCCAATTAAGATTTCTACTTAAAAAATATTTAATATTGTTACTAACCGTATCTTTAAAATGGATGA